CATTTTCAGCTTGCAAGTAGGAGTCAGTGTTTTCCTTTGTACGTAGAAAGTTTACAGGACTCTGACACAGCATGTGTACTGAGAGAGTTTTGGGAGCTGTTCCGCAGATTTCCTGCAGGTCATGAAAAATGATCAAGATTGGAACGCAAGGCTGGTGGGACAGATGTGCTGCATGGGTTAGTAATAAGTTTTCCCTTCTTGCCACGTTTGTGTTTTTGGAGCTGGGAAAAGATCTTCGTGCTACCTGCTTTGGCTTGTGGAGTGGGAGTGGCACAGACCTGGGGCACCACTTAAATCTTGGTGGAAGCCTGGTAACTTTTAAAGCTCTGTGGAAGGACTTCTCTGCCTGGTGTGTGTGGGATGCTTTATATAAACTCAGTATTTACTATGTGTGTGACACTGAGGGCATTGAGTTTTGACTGGATTTTCCTGAAAACCAGTTAGTGTAGGTTGTTATAATGAATGTTCCTTCTGCACTTCTAAATTTTTTCCTTAAATTCTATTGTTATTTACAGTCAGAGTTACATATTTTAAGTTACGTTGTACTTTCTAAGGTAAACATAAATGTATATTTTCATTTAAAACTACAAATGAAGTATTACTCAAGTGGACAAAGATTATAAAACTTTATTCAGAAGAGTAAGTGAAGCCTGTAAAACCAGAAGTTGGTTAAGATCACTGGAATGACAACCCTCTTTTCTTGTTGTCATAGCAACATTGCCCTAAATACAAATGTCAGTGTTAGAGAACCCTGACTGAAATGAAATAATCACCATGAGACTTGAAATTGGAAAATTAGATGGTGTGATGTGGAATACTCTCTTTTGAAACAATGTGTATAGAAAGTGGTAAAACCACAGTTTTTTCCCAGACTTAAATTATTCTGATTGTAAACTGCCCCACTTGAGAAGGTTGATATGCTGACAGTTCACATTGATTCTTTTCTCGTTATTGTGGTGCTGCAGAAACATTCTAGTGTTCATGAGCTTCCCTGGGACTCTTCTGGGTTTCTCTTGGCTTAAAAGAAAAGGCTTAGGTTATTAGTTAGAAACCAGTGTCAGAATTTCCTAATGCTGAGTGATAGATGTTACTTAGCTTCATTCTTTGTACTTTATTCGTGTGCTTGAATTGTACATCATAATTCCTGGATACTACCTCAGTAATAGCTACTCAATATTTAGCATCACTTCAGTTTCAGCAGTGCTTTCGAGCTGTAGCAGCAAAACTATAGCACAAACTCAATGAGCAAAAGAGCCTGTTAGTAGTTACATTATCTAAGTGAATCTTTCCTCTGTGCTGGGAGCCAAATTATTTAAATTCACTTTCTTGATACACTTCTTGGGTAAGAAGTTAGGCAACCTAATCCTTAGAACCTATGTTCTACCTTTTTGTATTTCTTAAAGTTTATGCCTGGTTTTTATTAATTGAGAAAATAAGAAATTATTTTGTTAATCTTTAAATATGTAAGAGGACAATTATTATATAATACATGAAATTTAATGAGATGGAGTAGTTTTGTAAGAGCTCATATTATTACACGAAGATTAAATACATTAAACGTTATGGGAGTAACTTAAGCCTGTATCTTGTAACTTGATACAGAAGTTGTCTATTCCTGAGTTACAAAGATTTCTAATAAAATATTTTAATGCTTTTTTTTCCTACTGATGATTTAATGTTAGGACCCTAGGTTGTTAATTGGATGGGAATAATATGAATATTACTATTAGTATTTTTTTTGTTCCGTTTTCTTTTGCTGGGAACTTAGACAAGCACCGCTGAAATGGTGAGATGAGTGCTAGTCTCTGGTGTACGGAGCTTTCCTTGTTTGTAATCCCTTGTTCAGGTTCACTCTACACAGTAGAGTTGATTCCCTACCTCCTTGTCTGTGATTCAAGTGTGTGCAGCACTCTCATTTGAAAGATGCCAATATCTTGGGGGTAGTAGAAGTGTCTCGGTTCTTGCCATGGTTCTTTCAGCAATTACGGAATTGGTGTTTTTTTTTTGTTGTTGTTGTTATTTTTTTGTTGGAAAAATCTGCAGGTGGCTCTCTTGCTACCTGTCTTTCTCTCTGAACCTCACCTGAGTGCTGGAGTCCTTTCCTTTTATGCTTGCTAAGGTGCTGAGTTCTCACCCTTTTTCAGCTGGTATGCAGGCCACACTGCCTTGTCAGAAGCATCCTCTTCAGGGGATGACCTGCGGAGCCCCAGGCTCGTGCTCTCCAGCCTGGTGGTCTAAGCACCACTGTGACCCTGGGCTCTTCAGAGCACCTGATCAGTGACTGAGTGAGCAAATGAGGAAAGTTCATAATCTGCATCAGTAAGGAGGACTACAAGATCTCTTTGTTCTTGCCTTACATACTTAGTATAATTCAGGTTTGTTTTGATTTTTTTTACAGTCAAAAAACATTCATGATATCATTATTGCTTTAAGAGATACAGCCTTATACACTATTGTGCATAAATAGGTAAGTAATTCTACAGTTTTCCAGAGGCAGCTTGTCCTTTCTGAAACATCATTCACACCACGATCATCTCTTTGTTGAGTGCATACAAACACCATGGCATTTAGTATGAGGTGTACAAAGATAAATAAGATGTAGATGATAGCCCTTATGGGACCAACAGTAATTAATATTGTGTGGCTGATAGTATAGGTTAATGATTATTAATGTGTTCTTGACGTTATTAAAGTGCTTGGGATTTTACATTTGGAATCAGGCAGATATGACCATTTCAGCCTAAGTTTGGAGCAAATATGCTCAGAATTAGCAAGCCTTACCTTTTGGGCCTGCTTTCTACAACCCCTTCTCCCTTCTTTAAATACTAAATACAGTGGCACCCCGGTTCACACACACTTTTGTGTGCAAATAGTTTGGTTTGCTAACCGAAGAGTTTGGCAAAATTTTGCTTTTGTTTGTGAGTTCTGCATCAGGTGACACAGGACCATGGCCATCTCTTCCATAATTGTGGAATGAATTAAGTTCATGAACTGAAGCACCACACATTAGGAGGCAGACTAGAGTTCTGGGCATTTTTTGAAAAGTGTTTGTTGTAGGCAAAACCAAGTGATAGATTATGTTTAGTCATCTTTTGGTTCCTCCCTGTCAGTGGTAGGAAATGGAAAGGATTTCAGGTTGGTAGTTTGGAGAAGAAAGGCCCATGAAATTACAAACTTCATACTGGCATTTAAATGTAGGATAGTGGTAAATACTATGCCGTCATGAGTAGCTTTGCTAGAACATTTCTACCCATGTCCTTACTGTTTTTTCAAAAACTGTGTTTTGCTCTTGTGAATATTTTGATTTGTATTGTTATAGTGCATTTCGTACACACCATGATTTTAATTTGAGAATACATTCTAGAAGTAGATTTTCTGGGGAAAGGTGTACATATTAAAAAAATTTTTTTTATATACCTTGCTTGGCAGATGGCTCTAGAGCAGTGCTGTCCCTTGGACTTCTACTCCAGAGCAGCACTGTCTAGTAGGAGTTACGGTGATGGAGGGAATGTTCTCTTTCTGTTTTTTCAGTGTAAGCCATTAGCTACGTGTATCTCTTAAGCTTTTGAATTGTCACTAAAGCAATCAGAAAGCTGGGCTGTTAATTTTATTTTGTTGAATTAATTCAGGTTTAAACTTAATTAGATGTGACTAGTGACTATGTTTAAAAGATGCAGGTATAGAAGATTTAAATCAGATTACGTTTCCACTAGCAGCATATGAATGTCTGTTCCCTGTGTCCTTTCTACACACACTTTTTTCCATAAAATCTTGGTACTTTTATAGATTAAAAAGTGTTTTCTGTGTTATGTTACTGTTTGTTAAGTGAGGTTGAGAACCTGTGGGCATTAGTTTTTTTTCTTTTCTGTTTTAGTGGGTTACCTGTCTACTTTTGCTACCTTATACAATAAGGCATTCACTTTTTTCTTATTTCTGATTTGTAAATACTAGCATTTGTAGTTTTTGTCTGCTCTTGCATCTATTTTCCCTAGCGACTTGTTTTTATATTTTTGCTTATTTTCAGATTATTGTAAAGAGCATAAATACTTTTGATAATTAGGGCAAATATTTTCAAAGAAATATCATATCTCAATAGCTTAAAGAGATTTGGGGATAAGGAGAGCAGACAAGGAAAGACAGCAGCATCTATCTTAATCCCTAGGCACAGACGGGGCACATCTGAACTGTGGTGGGAGTGGAGAGAAGAGCATCAGGGAAAGGAAAAGAGATGTTATTACCCGACACAAAGGAAGGAGGGAACAGAGCAGTGAATTACTGCCTCGAAGTGGGGAGGAAGACTGCAGTAAATGATAGCTCTCAGTGTTGGGTTGGAAGACTGTGATTCTCCTTTGAAATAACAGCTTCATAAATCAGAGCTTTCCCAACTTCTTAAACCCACTTTTTCTGCTCCTTCCTTCTCTCTGTGCTGTGTCTGTAGTGGCCAGGGCAAGATCACTCACTGCAGTGAGAGTCTGGCTGTAGTGATTCTTTGTTATCAGATCATTCAGTGCAGGGATCCAGGAGGGGAGCAGCATAGGCTGTGGCTTTTATAAGACTTTACTATGGAGACCTCTTGGAACCTCTTGGAGACTGCTTTCTTCTGTAAAAGGGGAATGACATAGTATGGTTGTAAAGAGCAAATGGGATATAAATATGTTAAAGTGTTTTGGGGAGTTCTGTGTGGGTTATCTGGAAGTTAGAAGGGTTTAGGTTAGAGAACTTCCTGGTGTGGTGTAGTGGTGATGGTGGATTATCAACACGTTGATACAGTGTTGGTTGGTGGAGTAAGCCTGGCAGATAAACACCAGGAGGAGACCAGTCTGACCACCTCCCTTTAAGATTTCCTTACAAATGGCCTAAAATTGGCAAAATTTGAGAGAATTCAGATGCACTGAACGATATCTTTTGAATATCTTATTCTATTTTGTTTATCTGCATGACCACCAAATTTCCCATGCATAGATTGTGCCAACCCTTATATCTCCTTTTTAATCTTCCAGATGAACGGGACAAAGTGCAAAAGAAAACATTTACAAAATGGATAAATCAGCATCTCATGAAGGTCAGTTTTTATTTCTTTCACATCTTGGAATTGTTTTGCTTATTTGGTCTGTTGGGCAGTACTTGATTGTATAGCCCTGCAGAACAACTTTTGAGTATCAACTCAAAAGTTTACATTGTAGAACATTTCATAGCATATTGGGTGTCTATAATTAGCTGGTGTGTAGCTTGTGGGTAATGATAGAGGCGGAAAGCGAAGTACCCACTGATTACAGTGTATTTCTGACATTAGTAAAACCTGCCATTATTGGACCTAAAAAATCTCAGTAGTTTAAGAAATCTGTAAGTATTTATATGTCAGGGGATGGAAAAGTTACAGCTCTAGTAAGATTTTTTTTCTCTCTGACGATTCAGATTCTGTGTCTATGAGAAATGAAGTGATAACAATAAAAGAATAATTGAAGAATAAGGAGAGAAAAAAGGGAATAAAATCATTCAGGTAGAATCTAAGGGAAGATGTGATTGTGCAAATGCCTAATCCCATCACTGGGAGGCCGAGCCAAGTTGGAGCACAGCTTGGGCAACTTAGTGACGTAGGGAGACCTCACTGCATTAAAGAACAAAAGAACAAAAGGACTGATATGAAGACCTTGGGTTTAATCCCCAGCACCACAATGAACAGAAAAGAATAAACTAAAATTGCATACTTCTCTGTGTGTTCTCTGCCTTGTACATTTGACTGAAATCTTAGTCTTAGGTGGAAAAAAAATGTGCTGGTGGCTCATTCTAGAGGGTCCTGGAGGCCCTCTACCCTTGCACTGGTAGTGGGCATGGTCCTCACCTTTTAAATAACTTAAAAAATTTTGTCTTTTCTACATTTTTGTTTTACCTTGTTAATTTTCATTTAATGTAATTGAATTACTTTTCTTAACCTCATTATGACTCCAAGGAGCTCAGTTCTTTGTAGTGCTGCTCCTTTGGACAGTGAGGCCTGCAGCAGCTGTCCTCAAGCAGACCTTTCTTCATCAGTCCTTTCTGTTTATTGTTGCTTGGAGTTTCAGCTATTTGCTAACTGATCCCTGTGATTTAGGAAGTTATGATCTGTGCAGCTGTATAATAGTTCCTACTCCATGCCCAGTATGACTCTGGCATGGATAGCTTGTAAGAGTTTGCATAGATAGCTTGTAAGTGTTTGCATAACTGGGAAAGGTAGACCTTGTTGCAGCTTTGAAATGCTTGTGGAGTTAGTTTTGTTTTGTTTTTTTTGAGACAGGGTATCACTGTGTAGTTGAGATTGACCTGGACCTCACTATGTAGCCCAGGCTGGTCTTGAACTCACAGCAATCCTCCTGCCTCAGCCTCCTGAGTGCTGGGATTACAGGCGTGTGCCATCATACCCAGCAAAGACGTTGTTAGTACTGGGAGTATGTGATAGATGCTTCTTCAGATGCTTTTGTTTTGTTTTTGTGGTACTGGGGATTGAACTCCTTCGGCCCTTGCGCTTGCAAGGCAGGCTGCAGAACCACTGAGCCATATCCCCAGATCTGGAGTTACTGTTAAATCAGTATGTGGAAACATTTTTTCTTAAAAAAATTTGGTGGGGATTTAAATAGTGTAACCTTTTCTCCAGAAAGTAATTTAATATAGCCTTGTTTTATACTTACCAGAGCTAAAATTGCATTTATTTAAAGTAAATAGACTGGTTTATTAAAACGTGTTTGTTGGTGAGCAGACATTGCTTTTTCCAGTAACCCTTAAGTTTAGGGTTCTGGGTTTTCACTTGTATGCATGACTAAGTTTGCCCTCAAGCTGGTGAGTGTGCATGAATGTTTTCCTTGTGATTCATCCTCCTTTACAGTACTTTTAGGAGTAAAGCCAGTTAACCTGTTCGTGTCTGCTGCCTCTGTAAGTATTGTCATACACTCGGTAGACCAGTTATTTACCTCACAAATCAAAGTTTCTAGGTAAACTATGGATGGCAGGAACATTTATGTATTATTCTTTAACACAATTTAAACTACTATCACTAGAGCCTCAAAACATTAGCTAGAAGAGGAGTCAGTGAAGAGAAAGAAAGTAAAAAGATACATACAGGAAAAGGCAAAGTCAGATTGTCATTATTTGCAGATGACATGATCCTCCACTTGCAAGACTCAAAAAATTCCACTAAAAAAAATTGTTCCACTAAAAGACTCCTTGCGGGATACAAAATCAGCACACAAAATCAATATCATTCATATAAACTAACAAGGCACTCACAGAGAAAGAAATTAGGAAAACAATGCCATTCACTACTACCATCAAGAAAAATTAAATACTTAGGTGTTAACCTTAAAAAGGAAGTGGAAGACCTCTACAGTGAAAGTTACATCACTCTGAAAAAGGAGATTGAAGAGGACATTGGAAAATGGAAAGATATCCCATGTTCCTGGTTAGGTAGAGCCAATGTAGTCAACATGTCTATACTTCCAAAACTGTTATATAGATTTAACACATTCCCTATGAAAATATCAACAGCACTCTTCACAGATTTAGAGAAAATGGTCCAAAAATTCGTATGGAACCAACAGAGACTCAAAGTAGCAAAAGTAATTCTAGGTAATACTAACCGAGCGGGAGGCACATACAATTCCAGATTTGAAGTAATATTTGTAAAGCTGTGTTGATAAAAACATCATGGTACTGGTGCAGAAACAGAAATGTGGGTCAGAAGAGAGGATGCAGAAACAACCCAGACACGTTCAACAATTTGTCTTTTATAAAGGGGTCAAAAACATACACTGGGGGAAAGATAGCCTCTTTAATACATGGTGCAGGGAAAGTTGGACATCCACGTGCAGAATATTGAGTCTAGCTCCAAATATCTTACCATGTACTAAACTAAAATCAGAGCAGATCAGTGATCTAAATGTTAAAACGGAAACACTTTGTTGAAAGATAAAACAGGTAAAACTCTTAAAGTTATGGGAGTAGGACAGGACTTTCTGAACAGAAATAGCCCAAGAAATAGTACCAACAGTCAACAAATGGGATCACATCAAATTAAAAGCTTCTGCACATAGGGCTGGGGATTTAGCTCAGCGGTTTGGTAGCCTGCCTTGCAAGCGCAAGGACCCGAGTTCAACCCCCAGTACCAAAAAAAAAAGCTTCTGCACATAGGGCTGGGGATTTAGCTCAGCGGTTTGGTAGCCTGCCTTGCAAGCGCAAGGACCCGAGTTCAACCCCCAGTACCAAAAAAAAAAGCTTCTGCACAGCAGAGGAAAAAAATTGAACAATGTGAAGAGACAATCCACACGATGGGAAAAATTTTCCTAACTATTCCTCAGACAGAGGACTAACATCTATATTCTAATATATAAGGAATTAAAAAAATTAGACCCCCCCCAATAAAAGACCAAATAAAAAAATGGGCAACTGAAATGAATGGACACTTCTTAGTAGAGATAGCCCATAAATACATGAAAAAATATTCAGTGTTGCTGGCCATTACAGAAATGCAGATGAAACCAACACTGAGGTGAAGCATCTCACTCCAGAAAAAATGGCTGTCATCAAGAAATCAAATAATAACAAATGTTGGTGAGGCTGTTGGTGAAAAAGGAACCCTTTATAATGTTGGTGAGAGTGTAAAGTTGTACAAACACTGGAGATCAGTATGGAGATGCCTCAAAAAAAAACTAAAACTAGAAATTCCATTTGACTCAACTATTTTCCTCCTAGGTATCTTCTTGAAAGTGTTAAGGTCATCATAGTGCAATGATACATGCATACCCATACTATAGCACAATTTATAATAGCTAAATCTTGGAAATAGTTCATATGTTGATGAATGGGTAAAGAAATGTGGTATTTATAGACAATGGAGTATCACTCTTCCATAAAGAAGAATAAACTTGAGGCATTTGTAGGTACATGGATGCACCCTGAGTTAAGCGAAATAGATCACACACACAAATTTAAACGTTGTGTGGATTCTTTTGTATGAGAAACCTAAACTATAAGTAAAGAGTAAAATAAAGGGTGGGGGATTTAGCTCAATGCTGCCACTGCCTGCTTCTCAAGCTCAAGGTCCTGAGTTCAACCCCTGGTACCAAAAAAAGTAAAGGGCAGATAATAGGAAGTGGGGAAGGGGAGCAAGAGCTAGAGTGGGAGAAGGAAGGAAGGGGAAAAGGATTTTGAAAAAGAATTGAAGAAGAATTGGAAATAGAGGTTTTGGAAATGAGAAGATCCGGAGTTGGAGGAAGCAGGGAGAGATGGGAGAGGAAGGAGACAAAAAAGAATTAAGATGTGTTATGTACTTGTAAAAACTCTCCATGATAAATGTAATCAATCTTTGCATACTGTGAATATGTACAAATAAAAATACATTAGTAGCACTAGGGTATGAATGAGTTCAAAATATAAATATGAACATTACTGAAAATACTTGTGGCTTCAATTTGCTAGATTTTACTGGAGAATTGTTCTAAAATACAAAGTTGCTGCACTCTTTTATCATTTATAGCATGTATTTATGCCTGTTCTTGTGACACTGGGTGCAGTCCCTCTATAAACTAGAGGCTCTTATATGACTACTTGCTGTTACTAACCACATGCAGTTCTGTCTCGCTGCCTAGAAATTGCAGCCCAAGGATGTAGGATTGACACCTAAGATTTGAGTGCTGTGGTAGTGACTTAGCTTTTGCCTTGCGGGGGGACTAGCTGGGGGAAAGAAGAAATGTTTTTTTCTCTAAAGCACTTGACCTATTATCAAAGATTAGAAGATTGCTTTTAATTGTTTATTTGGACTCAGAATTAGAACTTGAGACAAGACTGTGTGTTCCAGAGGATGATTTTTAGAATACTTGAGCCTGGAGAAATCTCTATAATGTGCTTCCCCTGTGGGCCAAGCCACCTCACTGGCTGTTTATAGTGGAATTATATTTTCAGCATCCATTGGCTGTCCTACAAATTTAGTGTGACATTGTGTAATAGGATATTTTAATTTATTGATATGTAGATGTGTTTGGAGGGGAAGAAGCCCTGGATTCCAGTGTTGAACCACACCCTGTTTGATGATTA